GGCCTGGGCACTGTCCCTCAGCTCTTCAGCTCAAGGCTAGCGCTCTACCACTTGAGCCACAGCGCCACTTCCGGCTTTTTTCTTTTTGCTCATGTGGTGCTGAGGAATCGAACCCAGGGCCTCAGGCATGCAAGGCAAGTGCTCTACCACTGAGCCACCTTCCCAGCCCTAGGATAGATTTCTATCGATGACATTTCCCGTCACTTTTGTAGGCATGGAATCATGCATTTTCTCCTCTGTGTGACTTTTTTCACTCCACATGAAATTTATTCATGAACTAGGGCTGGGGTGCTCTTCAGGGGTGGTATTTTCCTGACAGGGGTGGTTCTAGGGTTCATCTTTAGCACCACAAAATAAAAAAGTCACGCACCCGTGCTATCGCATGTAAATATAGTTCCTTTATATCTAGTTTCATTTGCTTGCTAAAACAGCATCTGTAGGCAGCCCAGGCTGGTTTGGAACTTCGGATCCTTCTGTGTTAGCCTATCTATCACCTGCTGTGATCATAGGTATCAGCAACCATATTTGACTGTAAGATGAGTCTTCAGTGAGTTAAGACTGAGATTCAGTTGAATATGACACTCAAAGGATTCCTCATATGGACTCCAAGTCTGGACTGAGGATACCTTAGGCTGGAGACAAAAGTGTGGTTGTCATCACGTGTAGGCAGGATTTCTGGGAAGAGTAGTAAGGGGTTCGGGGGTCAGTACCAGTGCTTGAACTCAGGGTCTCAGACTCAATTTGCTTATACCCCCAGCCCTACCATCTGAGCCACTCCTCCAGATCTGCTTTTTGTTCATTTTTTTTTTTGGCCGGTTGTGGGGCTTGAACTCTGGGCCTGGGCGCTGTCCCTGCGCTCTTCAGCTCAAGGCTAGCGCTCTACCACTTGAGCCACAGCACCACTTCCAGTTTTCTGGTGGTTCATTGGAGATAAGAGTCTCATGGACTCTCCTGCCTGGGCTGCCTTTGAACCACAATCCTCAGATCTCAGCCTCCTGAGTAGCTAGGATTACAGGTGTGAGCCACCGACGCCCGGCTTTTGCTGATTATTTTAGAGGTGGAGTCTTGAGGATTTTTCTGCTGGAGCTGGCCTTGAACCTCAGTCCTTCAGGTCTTGGTCCCCTGAATAGCTGAGAGAGAACAGGTGCCAGCTACTAGTGCCTGGCAGGCAGACAGATCTATGTTTCCCTCCCACCCCCGGGGACCAACGGGGTATGGGCAGAGGAGGGAAGAGGCTTGAGGATTGGGAGAAGACATTTTTAGGGGGGACAAAGATGCCCAAGATTATCAAATGGTGGTAGTGATGGGGATGTTTTGAGGCCAGTCAGTCGCAGGATGACAGGAGTGAGCCATGGGTGTACAGCTTTCTTTGGTACTTATTGAGCAACTACTATATACTAGGCTATCTAACTACAGCGTGAAGGCAAGGGATTCTTGTGCCCCAAATTAAAGAATTGGCACTGTGTATCCGTGGCAGAGTAGTAAGGTGGTGGTAAGGGATGAGGTAGGGGTGACATTTACAGGGTAACCGTGGCACCCCTTAGCTAAGACGTAAGTGGCAACTTTTTTTTTTTTTTTTTGGATAGGTTGTGGGGCTTGAACTCTGGGCCTGGGCGCTGTCCCTCAGCTCTTCAGCTCAAGGCGAGTGCTCTACCCCTTGAGCCACAGCGCCACTTCTGGTTCTCTGGTGGTTCATTGGAGATCAGAGTCTCATGGACTTCCCTGCCCAGGCTGGCTTTGAACCGTGATCCTCAGCTCTGAGCCTCCTGAGTAGCTGGGATGACAGGCGTGAGCCACCGGTGCCTGGCTGACACTTTTGTTCCATTGGATTTCCTTGTCATGCATTCCATCTGCAAAGCAAGTCTGGGTTTCTTTGTGGGGGACCCAGGGAACCCCTAACTTGGCTGTGTCCCACTGAGGTGTGTGATTCAGGAAGACAGTGGACCGGGTCCCCACTGGGCTAATGGAGACTTTGGCCCTCCCCTTGCCCCTTATCTCAAGGCCAAGAGCCATGTCCAGGGGCAGCTGGGAAGAGGGTGATGGGGAGGGGTGCGGTGGGAGGGGGGGCAGAGTCAGCAATCTGGGCATGGCTGGGTGGGGTAGGGCAGGGTTCAGGCTCCACAAAGAACAATGCACCTTGGTTTCCTCCGCCAGGAATATTTCAGATTGCTCCGTGATCCCCATTGAAAGCACATTGACCCTCCAACGCCCTCCAATTAGGGCTAAGTGTTTCAGGGGCCTGGATGGACACTTGCCTGGCATGAGTGAGGCCTGGCTTCCAAACCCAGACGTGACTGCATCCCAATAAATCCAATTTATGGCACTGAAATGTGGGTGTCACAAAACAGTATTTAATTTAACAACTTTTTTTTGTTAGTCATGGGATTTGAACTCTGGGCCTGGGCGCTGTCCCTCAGCTCTTCAGCTCAAGGCTAGTGCTCTACCACTTGAGCCACAGCGCCACTTCCGGTTTTCTGGCGGTTTATTGGAGATAAGAGTTTCAGAAGCTGGGAGCCAGTGACTCACTCCTATAATGCTAGCTACTCAGGAGACTGAGATCTGAGGATCACGGTTCAAAGCCAGCCTGGGCAGGGAAGTCCATAAGACTCTGATCTCCAATGAACTGGAAGTGGCGCTGTGGCTCAAAGTGGTAGAGCACTGGCTTTGAGCTGAAGAGCTGAGAGACAGCACCCAGGCCTAGAGTTCAAGCCCCACGACTGACAAAAAAAAAAAAAAAGAGTTTCATGGACTTTTCTGCCCAGGCTGGCTTTGAACCTCGATCCTCAGATCTCAGCCTCCTGAGTAGCCAGAATTACAGGCGTGAATAATTGGTGCCAAGTTTAAAAACCTTTTTTTTTTGGGGGGGGGTCAATTAGTCATGGGCTTGAACTCTGGGCCTGGGTGCTGTCTCTCAGCTCTTCAGCTCAAAGCCAGTGCTCTACCACTTTGAGCCACAGCGCCACTTCCAGTTTTCTGTTAGTTCATTGGTGATTAATGGACTTTCCCCGGGCTGGCTTTGAACTGCGATCCTCACATCTCAGCTTTCTGAATAGCTAGGATGACAGCCGTGAGCCACCAGTGTCTGGTGGTAAAGCATTCTCTTGACTGTACAAAAGCCTGGCAATAATAGGTTAGAGTTGATCAGTGATACAGTTTGCTGGTCCCTGTTGTAAAATCAGGCAGCCTCATTCCTGCTGTCTGATTTGAGGCCACTGTCAATTGCGGGGGGGTGGGGATGGGAGAGGGGGAAACTGAGTCAGCATTTACTCACCCAGAAGAACACAAAACCAGGCGGTGAGGTGTGAACATCATTGGAATGCTGCTGTCCACCAGCCACACACCCTGCTGTATACCAACACACACATTCATACCTGAGTTTGGAGTGTGGAGTCAGGAAGGCTCTCCCCAGGAAGGGAGGTTTGAGTTGGGAGGAGCAGAGTCCAGAGTTGTGTGTGTGCTTACGAATCCTGCTCACCTGCAGAATAAAGGAAATTATACCCATTTGGCAGGGTTGGTTTAAAGGGCGATGGTATGCAGAAGGCACTCTATGAGTGCTTCTTTCTGGCCTGGCACATAGCCGGCTCTGCCTAGTATACAGTAGGCAACCCCTACCTGGCCGCTTTGCCGTATCTGATACACAGTGCACATTGCATTCAAACTGGCTTTATGCATGGTATACAGTAAGCGCCTTGCCAATGCCTGACTCCATGCCGGCTCCACGACCTGCAAGTAGACAGTAGGCTGTGCATCGATGCCTGGCTTGTGCCTGGTGTACACACAGGTGCCCTGTGATGCCCGGTCGGGGTCGGATGTGGGAGTGGCTGCATGCACGCCGGCCCGAGCCGTCACGAGCCCGGTTTTATTCTCTGGCTCACAGCAGGCGCTGCATTCATGCTCGGCCCGCGTGCAGTGTGCAGTAGGCTCTTCGTTCCTGCTCGTGCACACGCATGGCGGGTACACAGCTGGCACTCTCCAGGAAGGCGGCGGTGACTGGAGGCCAGGGGCGAGCCGCCGGGCCCGGCGCGCCGGAGCTCGGGGCCCCCGCCCCTCCCGAGTCCAGCGGAGCCCTGAGGCCGAGTCCTCCACA